GGTTCGATCCCGACCCTGACGAAGCCTGCTGCTGTATATTTGGAGTTTGCAAGTCTCTCTCATCATCACAGTGGCTGGGAGATGTTAACAACCTCGCCTGGTATGGAGGAGGTTGTGGGTTCGATCCCGACCCTGACGAAGCCTGCTGCTGTATATTTGGAGTTTGCGTGTCTCTCTCTCTCTGTCTCCCCGTGGCCGCGTGGATTTTTCTCCGGCTTCCCCCCGCTCTTCCCCCCCCCCCCCTCCACATTTAGAATTAAATGCTTCCAAGCTATCAATTCCGGTTCAGTGATTCTGCACTTGCTCTATTACTATAGTACTATACCACCTTCAGCTTTTACGAACGACCGGGCGTTTAAGGTTAGCGATTTGTCGTGTTGTCTGGGCTGTGTAGCGAATGAAAAAATACAATTACTTTACCGTGCAAGTAAAAAATTACTGTTTTAATTTACGTGTTTTTTTATTTTATTTAGGGCCCCTTTATAACGTACGCTACAGGGCCCCGCACTCGCTTGGTCCGGCACTGGGCGCGCGGCCGTGGATTGTCTGCCATGGGGTCGCGGGGCCGGGGGGCTGGGGGGTGGGGGGGGACCCCCGTGGGACCCGGCGCTGTGAGACTCATCAACTCGTGCAGGAAATCAATTGTGAAGGACACGGGAGGAACTCGACCCATCTATATTTACACACGGAGGCAAAGATCCCTCGCTCGCCGTCGTACAGCCCACACGGACTGCTGGGGCACGTGCTCTCTCCGCGAGCAGCAGCACGTGGTGGGGGTGGGTGTCCAGCACCACGCCCGGGCCGCCTTTGTCTCCCCAGTGGCGATGTTGTTACGCACCGCACCAGGTACTGATTTGAGGCTGAGTCGACCTAGGGGAGGGCCCAGGACCGGTTCAAACAATCGTCGCTTGGTGTCGGCCGTGCGGGTCGGCGGGTTCGTGGCGCAGCGCGCTAACCGCTACACCACCGCTCCCCCACTACTACACCATGCCCACACACACAAAGATCCCCCGTATAGCCTTAACAGACTGTAGGGACAAGTGCTGTTAGCGAGCACCTATGAAGGCCGGAACGGTACACGAGGGTGTGGGTGGCCAGCACCACGCCCGACCGCCTTTGTCTCCCCAGTGGCGATGTTTACACACCGCACCAGGTACTCATTTGAGGCTGAGTCGACCTAGGGGAGGCCCGGGACCGGTTCAGATAATCGTCACTGATGTTGGCAGTGAACGGGAATCGAACCCAGGTCGCAAGGTTCATAGCCCAGCGTAGCGCTAACCGCTACACTACCGCTCCCCACGCGTTTGTGTGTGTGCGCGTGTATGTGTGGGCATGTGTGCGCGCGCGTGCGCACTTACAAAAGACGAAGAATCCCCCCGTGTCGTCATTAACGTTGAGGCCAAGCGCTGTTCGCGAGTGAGGCCGGCACCGCGCAACGAACGGGCGGTCTGCTCAGCGCCGCGCCCGGCCACCTTTGTCTTCCCTTTGCCGGTGTTTCATCCACGAGGTGCTCGCTCGAGGGTGAGGGGGGGGGCAGGGGTGGAGATGTCAGAGGGCAATCGTTCACCCTTCCCTTGCCCCCGCCGCGGCCGCGTGACCCAGTTTAACGACATTCGCCGCTTCGAGGTGACGCCCTCGGACCCCTCGGCGCGGCACCGACCGTGGCACGGCCGTCGGCTCCCTCGCCTCCCCCCCCGTTCACGTCTCGCGGCTCCTCCGCTCGCTCCTCGTCGTCGTCATCATCGTCATCGTCGTCGTCGTCGTGCGGACCGCGTGCGGTACGGAGGGCGTAGATCGTGACGGTAGGATGGGGATGGTTGAGTGTTGTATTTGTCTGCGTTTGGACGACTTGTTTACCATTGCACTACTGTCAGGCGTCAGGGTTGGGATCGAACCCACGACTTCCTGTGCACCAGGCAAGGTAATTAACATCTCCTAGCCACCGTGACGATGATGAGAGACGCAAACTCCAAACATACAGCAGCAGCAGGCGTCGTCAGGGTCAGGATCGAACCCACGACTTCCCGTGCACCAGGCGATGTAGTCAACATCTCCTAGCCACCGTGATGATGATGAGAGATGCAAACTCCAAATATACTGCAGGCATCAGGGTCGGGATCGATCCCACGACCTCCCGCGTACCAGGCGAGGTGGTTAACATCTCCTAGCCACCGTGCGCGCCGATTCTAAAGTGGCGGCGGGAGTTTATTCGAGCGGCGCAAACGCGGCGAATCACAACGGCCGCCCGGCTCGAGGGCTCTGCAGAAGTGGCCTCTGGGCACCTTTGGAATGTTTCGTTCGACAGGCGGAAGACTCGGGCGACCACACGTTACGTCCCTTCCCACGTCAGTTTTCCGCCGTTTAAAACAGCTGCTGGGGGGTGGGGGGGTGGGTCAGTATCTCTCACACGACGGAGCCATAGGCCTCACTCACGGCCCTTCGGCATCGTACACGCCACGTGGGAGCACTCGCTCGTGGGCCAAAAACCTCTCAGTGACCCTAGCTCGGCCTACATTTTGGCCCAAAATTGCCCCTAACGTGGCTACAAACTTGGCCCCAAACTTGGCCACAAACTTGGCCCCAAAACTTGGCCCCAAATATGGCCCCAAACTTGGCCACAAACTTGGCCCCAAATTTGGCCTCAAACTTGGCCACAAAAATGGCCCCAAACTTGGCCCCAAACTTGGCCCCAAACTTTTTCCAAAGTTGGGCCCCGACTTTGGGCCCCAACGTTGGGTCTTGACGTTGGCCACGACGTTGACCCTGACGTTAGCCCCGAAGCTCCGTGCTTCCTGGGGATGGCGAGTGTGGACGGTGTGTGTGTGTGTGTCGCTAGCCGTGCCACTCTGGGCTTCGCAAAAATGAAACCCCCCCGTCTCTCTCGCTGCGGCTGATTAAAAACGGCCTCCGATTTATCGCCCGCGGCTTGACAAAACGGCTCCCGCATTTTAATCGATTTTATTATCTTGTTCGAGTAAAGAAAACAAAGCGCGGGGCGGGGGCGGTTGTTATTTAGTTTTGTTCGTCCCGATGTCATTTTCTCGCCGTGCGGTCTTCCGAAGAAACGTTTTCATACAGCGAACGGCGTTCCGCTCCGCAGTTGATCACGAAGAGGAGGTTTCATTCTAGATTTGAAGCTTTCGTGACTGCAAGGATTCATACTCTTAGTTTTTTCCAAATATACAGCAGATTTGCTGTATCAAGTGAGGCCACTTGATGCAGCAAATCTGGCTGTGGCGGTCCCACCTGATGACGGAGACTTGTGTTGCCTCCGAAACGTCGTGATTTATTATTATTTTATTTTTATTCATTTTAATTTACATTTTTTACCTACGTGACTTTACCGAAGAAACTAAGAGTAGGAGGTTTCGTCTTTTGGAGAACCTCTTTTCTTTCTCAACGTGGCTCGTCACATCGGCTCGGTCTCGGCATTTTATTTCGTGCCTTCGGATTCGAAAGTGCAGTTTCGTGTCAGGTGACTTGCGTCGTAGACGCACTGAATGCAATGATGTGAAATCATCTTAAACTGTCAGATAATTGTGAGATTTTTACTTTAAACACGACGGTACCGTGATTAGTCAGAAGATACTTCCACCGGAAGCATTTACCGTCTCAATCACCAAAGTCATTCGCATGTTCGGCGGCTAGGAGATGTTGACTACCTCGCCTGGTATACAGGAGGTCGTGGGTTCGATCCCGACCCTGACGCCTGCTGCTGCTGTATAGTTGGAGTTTACGTGTTTTCCCTGTGGTCGCGTGGATTTTTCTCCGGGTCCTCCGTTTTTTTTTCTCCTCCACGTTTAGAATCGTTTCAGAGTTATTTGCCTGATATCACTTTCCACGCGATGACGATAAACCACTTCTCGTTGAGTCATCATTTGCGATCGCCAGGTCGCTTCTGATAAAGATCTGTACAGCTCCAGTAGACCTCACCGGTTAAAATAAAAAAAAACGATTTAAAGTTTTACACATCTGCCCGCTCGCCCGCTCACTCCTCGCTCTCCGATGCTCGCCCTATCATTCGAATGAGCGTCCACCTAGCCCCTCCACCCCGCGGCGACCACCCTCTGCCCACTCGCGCCCGTGACCCCCCCTCCTCATCCTCATACTTCCCTGCCCGCCAGCACGCTCTGTTGCTCGCTGACCCCCTGCAGCCCCCTCGTGCGGGAACCGTCAGCCCTTTCGCTCGCCCAAACCGCTCGCTTGCCAACTCGGCCATCTTACCCGCTCGCCCGCCCGCTCGCTCGCTCGAACCCTCATCCTCCTTCCCTGCCCGCTCGCTCTCGCCCACCTTCACTCATCCGCTCGCTCCCTCGCTCATCCTCCCTCGCTCTACCCCTGCTCGCCCGCCCGCTCGCCCGCTCGATCGCTCGTTCTCTCGCCCTCCGTCTCACACACGCATGCCCGCAGTCGCTTGCACACAACGCTCGTTTGCTCACTCGCCCTCTCTTCCCCACTCACCCTCTCTTGCCCACTCGCCCACTCACCCTCTTGCCCACTCACCCTCTTGCCCACTCGCCTGCCCGCCTGCCCGCCTGGCCACACAGTGGCTCTCATTGTGCGCCTCTTGGCGAGCAGTCGGCTCGCTGAGAGGAAGCTGGGAATGCCGTGAGATCGACACGGCAGCTCTGGCCCGGCAGCCTTTAACCCTTTCACCATCGCGGGGTACGAAGCCACCCGAAGCCACCCGAAGCGACAGGGCAGATTCAAAGTAACATTTGTCCGTCGCCAAAGTGGAAGCGTCCGAGAGAGGGAGTCTGTGGGTCTCTGTACGAGTCTATGGGTCTCTGTGTGAGTCTATGGGTATCTGTGTGAGTCTACGTACGTACGTTGAACTTTTTCCGCACCGTATGTAGGTGCGAGTCGGTCACATTTTACCTGGGGCGATGGGGAACCACAATGCACTTCTTCAGGAAATATCCACGGCTTGTTATTTAACCAAAAAAAAATATTCGGCACCCGCGTGGCATCAACGCGCGATCACGTGTGTCGTTCGCCAGGGGCATTCGCCGGATTCACGTCGCATCGCATCGCCCACGCGCCCGCCGGCTCAACGGGGAAACGAAAACACCGTGGACTGCCACCGCCTGCCCCAGCAGACACCGGAATCCTGCGCCGTTGTGGGTAAGAGACGCTCGCTGCGATTCGCGTCGAGTTCATCATTCCAACCCCCCCCCCCCACAGCTCCCCCCCCACGCCCCCCCCCCCCACCACGCCCCCCCCCCCCCCCCCCATCAGACACTCTGATTCATCCTCAGCCTTGTGACGATGAGCAAACAGCGGAAGCCTACAAAACTATGCTGCTGCTATAAACTTTTTTTATTTGTTAGTTTAACACGTGGTCGGAGGCTTTCGCGAGCAATGTCATCCATAATCGAGGTTTTTTCTTTCTTGGGTTAGATCGCGTACGTTTATAAATGTTAAACCCGGCACCACCCGACACAGCCAATTGGTAAGGGCGGTCGCCTGATGAAGCTGGTTGTAATTTCTGGCGAAACGTCGTACTCGGATTGTGAATGTTGTGGCTTGGCTCTCCAACGCGCAACCGGTGGTGCTGTACTAGTATACTACACTATTCACTACACTACTGTACACTACACTACTCACTACACTATACACTACACACTACACTATACACTACACTATACACTACACTACACACTACACTATACACTACACTATACACTACACTACACACTACACTATACACTACAATATACACTACAATATACACTATACACTACAATATACACTACTATACACTACATTACTGTACACTACACTATACACTACATTATAGACTACACTATTCACTACACTACACACTACACTATATACTACACTATACACTACACTATACACTACACTATACACTACACTATACACTAATGCTGTACTAGTGACGAATTGGCCACGTTCCGTTTACGTGACAACCCTCACTAGTTGGCCGTGTCGGGTGGTGGTGGGTTTTAGCGACACAACATTTATATATTTACGCGTTTTCACGACACAGCCTCTACTATGGATGTTTCTTTTCAGGCAAGGCCCCACTGAGCTACGCAGGTCTTTGTGTCAGAAGCGACCCGGCCACAAATGATAGCGCAACGAAGTGGGATCATCACGTGGTCATTCATAGCAGCAGCCACATACGCTAAAACGCGTGACGTTGATCCTGAATGGGGAGGATCTGGAGGAAGCAAACTCAGGATGGAACCCACGACTTCCTGCGTGCCAGGCGAGGTAGTTAACATCTCATAGCCACCGTGATGATGATGATGATGATAGACGCAAACTCCAAATATACAGCAGCAGGCATCAGGGTCGGGATGGAACCTACAACCTCCTGCATACCAGGTGAGGTAGTTAACATCTCGTCACGTGGAGAGAGAAAATGCAAACTCCAAATATACAGCAGAAGGCGTCAGGGTCGGGATGGAACCCACGACCTCCCGCGTACCAGGCGAGGTAGTTAACATCTCCGAGCCACCGTGATGATGATAAGAGATGCAAACTCCAAATATACAGCAGCAGCAGGCGTCGGGGTCGGGATGGAACCCACGACCTCCCGCGCACCAGGCGAGGTAGTTAACATCTCCGGGCCACCGTGCGCGTCGCGCACAGCGCTCCGATTCTAAAGCGGCGGTGGCGGCGGCGGCGGCGTGGGAGTTTATTGGAGCGGCGCAAACGCGGCGAATCAAAACGGCCGCTCGGCTCGAGGGCTCTGCAGAAGTGGCCTCTGGCACCTTTGGAATGTTTCGTGTTTTTCTTTCCCCCTTTGTTGTTGTTGTTGTTTTATTTCGCCTTCTCATTCGCTTCCCCTGGCGGCGGCCGAGAGGTCGGCCCACTCGTTGACCCACGTGCGGGAGACGCGCGGCGATCCGTCGCGATAGGCGAAATGATGGGGGGGGGGAAGAGGGGGGGGGGTGTTGAACTTCTTTCGCGCCGTACGTAGCCAACCGCGCCGATCGCAGGCGCGATGAGTCGGGGCTCTCGATTCGAGAGTCACGCACGGAGGCTGTGGGTTCGATCCCGTCGGTGGCGAGATGTGAACTCCCTCTCGCCTGGTTTACTGGAGGCCGTAGCCTGAAACGACGACGAAAAAAAACCACTCCGGAGAGCGAGAGACGGCGCGTCTGCGGAAAAGATGCCCGACCGAGGTCGCCCTCATCGTCGTTCAACTCGAATTTAATTTTAACGTTCGTGCCCAGAGTCAGTACAGCTGTGTTTCCCCCCCCCCCCTTTCGCTCTCCCTCTCAACTCTCTCTCTCTCCTCCCTCTCAACTCTCTTTCTCTCCTCCCTCTCAACTCTCTTTCTCTCCTCCCTCTCGCTCTCCGTGGTCGTGGTGTCACTCGACCCCTTCTCCTGCACCGCCGCCGTCGTCACCAGCGCCCACGACTCCCACCCACCCCACCCACCCACCCCACCCACACAGCCTCCCTGGAAGGAGAGCATCTCATCAAATTAGCGGCCCGTCTCTCGCTCCACTCAGCTGAGCTGGCTGATGGAGGACTAGTGACAAGTGTGGGGGGTGACGGTGGTGTTGGTGACGGTGGTGGCGGTGGTGGCGGTGGTGGCGGTGGTGGTGACGGTGGTGGTGGCGGTGGTGGTGACGGTGGTGGTGGCGGTGGTGGTGGCGGTGGTGGCGGCGGTGGTGGCGGCGGTGGTGGCGGCGGTGGTGGTGGTGACGGTGGTGGTGGTGACGGTGGTGGTGGTGGCGGTGGTGGCGGTGGTGGTGGTGGTAGCGGTGGTGGTGGCAGTGGTGTTGGTGGCGGTGGTGGTGGTAGTGGCGGTTCGTGTAGGTGGGGTTGGGGGGTGGGGGCTGTTGGCAGTGAAGAGTGGCGTCGGATGAGAGACCGATGATGAAGGATGCGTAATCAGGTTAAGTGGCGTGCCCCCCCCCCCTCCCACGACCACCCCCCCCCACAACCACCCCCCCTCCCGCCGCCCGGGGCGTGCCGCGGGCAGCGCCAGCTCCTCGCCCCCCGTTGTTGCGTCCGTGGGTTGTTGCGTGGTGGCGCTTCGAGGCGCAGCCCTTGCAATTTCCCACCTCCCTGCCCCGCCCCCCCCCTCTCACGCCGCTGCTGCTGCCCAGGGGGTCGAAGGCCTTCAGCTCGAGGGAGCCCCGTGGAGGAGGAGGAGGCCTTCTTTCTCTCTGTCTGGTTCAAGTTCAAGTTTCATGTATTAGGTATAGCCCTGTGAGCCATTCGGCTCTTGAATCGGGTGCAACCGCAGCAAACAGAAAACAAAAACGCGAACAAGAAAACATCTTAAAGTGATCTTCTTGGTTCTTTCGGTAAAGTCACGTGGAAGGTAAATAATAAAATAATAAAAATAAAACATAATAAAATAATTCTCACGACGTTTCGGCCACAACGCAAGCAGCCGTCCCCAGGTGAAGACCAGGTCTGTCGGGGAGACGCCTGAGGACGGCTGCTTGCGTTGTGGCCGAAACGTCGTGAGAATTATTTTATAATGTTTTATTTTTATTACTTGAGAGGGAGGAGAGAGAGAGCTACTAAGTGCAAACAGAAAATCCAAGAAAAGACAGCAAAATATTGCAGAAAAAGCACCGCACACCACGGCACCGATGAAGGCCGGCATGGCGCACGGGGTGGTGTGTGGTCAGCACCACGCCCGGGGGCCGCCTTTGTCTCCCCGGCGGCGATGCTCACACGCCGCACCGGGGAACTCGTTTGAGGCCGAGTCTACCTAGGGGGAGGCCCTAGACCGGTTCCGTTAATCGGTCACCGGTGTTGGCCGTGAGCGGGAATCGAACTCGGGTCGCCGGGTTCGTAGCGTGGCGTAGCGCTAACCACTGCACTACCCGGTCGACCGCGATCACCGCGGGGGAGGTGGGGGGGGACGGGCGGTCATTGAGAATGCGGCGGGGTATTTGTAAATGGATCGCCCGGTTTTGTCGCCCCAAAAGAAAGACGCAGGCTCCATGGTTAGCCCATGCGCGCGTGTGTGTGCCTGTGTGTGTGTGCGCGTGTGTGTGCGTGTGTGTGTATGTGGGGGCGTGTGTGTGTGGGGGGGTGTGTGTGTGCGTGTTCGTGTGTGTGTGTGTGGCCGGGTGCGAGTGCGTGTATGTGTAAGTGTGTGTGTGCGCATGCGTGTGTGTGCGCGTGTGTGTGTGTGCGTGTATGTGGGAGTGTGTGGGGGGGTGCCCTGGTTAATTTCGGCCCCGTGTCGACGCCGTTCCTCTGCCGCCCGCTGAGGCGGCGTGCGGGGGACACCGCACGTGTGTGTGCATGTGTGCGTGTGTGCGGGGGACACCGCACGTGTGTGCGTGTGTGTGTGCGTGCGTGTATGTGCATGTGTGCGTGTGTGCGTGTGTGCGGGGGACACCGCGCCGTGGCTCTGGGCTCTGACCTCGTTTTGCTGAGACGGCCGTGCAGCGTGGTTGGTGGTGGGGGTGGGGGGTGGTAGTCGGGGGTGGGGGGGGAAATTGGGGGTAGTGGGGTTTTTTTTGTTGTTTCATTGTTCCTATAATTTCATAGCCGGTGGCGGCGGCGGTGCTGGCGGTGGCGGCGGTGGTGGCGGCGGTGGTTGCGGACATCGTGGGTTCAATCCCGAACCCTGACGCCTGCTGCTGTATATTTGGAGTTTGCGTGTCTCTCTCTCTCATCATCATCACGGTGGCTAGGAAATGTTGACTACCTCGCCTGGTGTACAGGAGGTCATGGGTTCGATCCTGACCCTGACAACGCCTGCTGTATATTTGGAGTTTGCGTCTCTCTCTCTCTCTCATCATCACGGTGGCTAGGAGATGTTCTCTACCTCGCCTGGTATAGAGGAGGACGTGGGTTCGATCCCGAACCCTGACGATGCCTATTTTATATTTGGAGTTTGCGTGTCTCTCTCTCTCATCATCATCACGGTGGCTAGGAAATGTTGACTACCTCGCCTGGTGTGCAGGAGGTCGTGGGTTCGATCCCGACCCTGACGACGCCTGCTGCTGTGTGTGGATTGGTGGGTTGGTGGGTGCGTGGGTGGGTGAGTGTGTAGGTGGGTGTGTCGGTGCGTGGGTGGGTGTGTGGGTTGGTAGGTTGGTGGGTGCGTGGGTGGGTGGGTGTGTATGTGTGTGGGTTGGTGGGTGGGTGCGTGGGTGGGTGGATGCGTA